CACCTATCTTTTTCTCCCCATGAAGGGACTTACTACACCAGTCACCTTTTAGTCTTCCTCTGGATGCTCTAAGCAGACTGTGGTCTTTAAATTTGTCAAGGCCAGATGTTTTCCCCAGTCTTTAAATTATTTCCGTGGTTCTTTTCCCTACCCTCGCCAACTTTTCAACATCCTTTTCAAATGTAGATGCCAGGTCTGGATGCAGCATCCCAAAGTAAAATTACCTCCTTATTCCTACTCAGTATTTTCCTGATTATTTGTTCAAGGAATACATTAGCACTTTTGGTTACAACATTGCTCTGACAACTCTTGTTTGACTGCGTGTCCACCCAGGCACCTACAATCTACTTCTCTCTCCTATATATTATACCAACTTGCATCAGATATCTTTAAGGAAAGATTAAGAAGTTATTCCAAAACACGTTACAAACATGTAACGAAGACCTCAAGCCTTTTGCAACATGTGGAGCAGAAGGCACTTGAAACTGCTCCTCAAGCCCTCAGTTTTCTTCTCGCTGGCCCACTGCAGTAACCCTTGCCTTATATTTTAATACTGAATTCAGTGTGTTTGACACAACCCTGGAATGTCCAGTGTATACAGATTTAGGAACTGGAGGATCTGCAAGGAATGAAGTTCAGGACAGCTGGGTAAGGAAGATCTGAAGCTGTGAGCACGTAGGAAGAGCTGAAGTCCCTTTTGGGTTTCTGCAGCCTGTGCTCAGCTAAGGCTCATGGTAGCAGGGACAGGGTGTCACTCCTAAATCCCTTCTCCTCTTGGAAAGGAGCAGAAGTGATATTATTTTTATGCAGGAACAGACAGCAAATTACCCAAGTTCTATACGGCAAATATTACAGGGCTGGCACATGGCTCTGTCTAGCTTTGCAGCAAGAAAACCAAAACAAATCAGATACTTTGGCTTCTCACTTCACACCCAGGTCCTTGTCCTCTGATCATCCACATGTAACAAAGCCCACCTGCACTTCTGGAAGCAGCCAGGACTGTCTTACTCCCTTTGGGCAATCTGTCCAAGGCTGGTTCTCTCCACTTTACCCAGGTCACCAACCCAAGCCCAGCAGCTATTGCACCCTCACGTACCTCCACAGCGCTCATACCACACCAGTATACGCCCTCGATGCCATGCTGAAAAATACCACTCTGGACCACGGTAGGGATCTCAGCTTATTTCAAGCATTTTGAGCTGAAAACATGATTATGGGTGAGGGTGACAGGAATGCTGCTACAACAAAACTTGGGACCTCGAGAAGACTGGAGCCCAGGGTAACACATATGGCCAGGAGCAGTCTGCTCTTGAGGGGCCACCCAAGCAAATGAGAGCCTTCTAGTATTGCTTAGTGGGGGGGGCTGAAGAAGATGCCTTGAGTCATTGGCTATTTAATTTCAGCTGTTTCCAGAGAAAAGGTGCTAAGTTGACAAGTAACCGTATGCGGGTTTTTTTTCCCCAAATATTGATTTGGAAAGCTTCATTCTGGCACTAGAGAGACGCTCTGGGGTCAATCTAGCTTGGTCAGCCTCAGTAGTAACCAAGACCCATGGTCGAACTGTTTCTTTGTTCTTTCTCAGCCCATCCCAGGGGCTGTCACTGAAGAGAAACAGGAATAAGTGAGGAAAGCGTCTGTCCAGGCCGTCCATCAGTATCAGCGCTACTGATGATGTATGAGCCAGAGCTCACAGTCCAGCTCACACACTCAGAGCCATGCCAGCTCAGCAGGACTGAAAGGCAAAATTTGTAAAAAGAAAAGAAGAAACCTTTATTTTGTCAAGCAGTAGCGGCTCCAGCAATCAGTACACTTGGAGAGCAGTTTTGGTGAGTAGGGAGGTACTGTTCTTACAGTCTTTTTCTGTGTAAAATCACAACACAGAACCTGGCTTTGAACTCCTCGCCATCTTTACAGTAAGACAATATGGTACTGCCTCTTACAGAGGGATGAAAACTTGATTATTTAGCCCTGCTTCTGGTCCAAGGAGGCAAAGTATTTCATTCTTGATGTTTTTGCTGATAAGAAATAATGGGAAACACCTTCCCTATGAAATATATTTTCTATTTTTTTCTATTTTTTTCCCTTGATGTCACCTAAAAGAGTGATTTTCAGCCTCGGATCCAAAAGGATTCTTTTCACATAGGGCACCTTTTTATGCCCCCTAGAAGACTTATTATCTGCAGGAACCACCTTAAGCCAGACCCTGGGTTAAGTTGGTGCTGAGAAGGGAGCAGGGCTTCCCAGGAGCCACAAGGTTTCACAGCAACATGGTCTTCATCGGCTGCTGGCAAGAGCATAAGCAACCAGCATGACTTTTTCTGCTGGGCCAGCAGCCCAAAACTGGGACACGCTGGTCTAAACCTCCTGGTTTATGATAATTCCAAGCAACACAGCTCTGACATACCTGGCAGTGAGTTTTATACTAGGCTTTTCAGAAGCGGCACACCAAACTTCACCCCTGGCAAGAAAAAAATTTTAAAAAAGGGTGCCAACCCCAGCTAAGGCTGAACACTCTTCAACACCAGTTAGCAACAGCTTTTTTAGCCATTTAAGCGTCAACACTGGGATATCACTGAAAAGGGCATTTTAGACAACAAATACTTCAAAAGGAAAGGTATTCAACCCTTTCTGCACACCTTTCTCTTTTTAAACCCAATGTTTCTCTGCATGGCTCACTTTGCACTTAGACAGGGATTTATTTTTGTAAACCATGAGATCCAAGTCTATATGGCCCCAAGGCTAGCAGGGATGGGGTAACCAGCCACATCAACCCCCAGGGAGCAGGGACTTGAGGTGGCCCAGCACCAGGTTGGCATGACAGCCCCACCAGGAAGGGTGAACAGGTGCCCACTCCTGGACAGTCGGAGCAGCCCAAACCCCAGGTGAGCTTGGCCTGACCTCTTTTTGCTAGAAACTGTTCCTGTCCGAGGGCTCTACTGCAGCATTCATCCCACGGTCCTTATGACACCCCTGGAGTAAGGAGGTGACCTCAACCGTCTGGGTTGGAAAACCAAGGGGCAGATTATCAGCTGGTGCAAATCAGCATAGCTTCACTGGAGACCGAGGAGCTATCCCAATTCACCCCAAATGGAGTCTGTCTTGGAGAGGCGAAGAAACGCGTCGCAGCCACTCCACACGTCAATGGCAGCGCTGGGCATGGAGGTGGGGCATCCTGGCTTCCTGGTCCTACAGTACTGCCAACATAACTGGAAACCACACCCGGCGGTACGTCTTGCTCCAATCAGCCAAGCAATGCAGAGGACTGGTCCTCAGAGCCAGCAAAGGGTTTTCCACTCCCCTCAGTAGCTAAAATTCACTGTCTTCTCTTTTCAGCAGCAGCAGCTTCAGTTTTTGCTGCCCTTCACCCATCACCACCAGAAGATGCCAGCAGGCATGCGACAGCTCTGCCACCCAGTTGGCCTTATGCAGTTATGTCTGCAGTGGGTGACAGGCAGATATATGCATACACAGGGGACCTGGGTGAGACTCTTTAGCTCTGGTGTGAAGGCCAAGCAAAACCATGACAGTCCTCACAAGGCATGGGATCAGTTCCCCAGATGGAAAAAACATTAGAAAAACCTCCCGCGTGCCCATGAGGGGCTTGTGTTGGTTAGATGGAGGCCCTAGTTTTTCATATCATCAGAAGGCGTCATGAGGGGAACTGCAGAAAAGCCGCACATGATGCAGATTTAGCTAGCCAGAGCAGGCACTTCAGCTGGAGACCTTCCTTGCAGCCATCAGACACGCCGCCCCTACCAGGCACATTTCCATGGCTTTTAATGTAGCTTAACAGTTGCATTGGAGACAAAGGAGAAGGCACAGTGTACAGGGAAAAAAAAAAAAAAATCCCAAAATGATACCCTTTTATTTGTAAAGCTCTGATGAAACAACTTTCCAAATGACATCCCACTTAAAAACCAATGGAAACCAACCTAACTATGCATCAGTCACACTATACAGATTGCATCCTACATTTTCAAGATGCCTAAATATCTTATGGAGTATTTACATATGTATCAGTTAGGTAGTAAAGTTTCATTGCGGTTTGTTTCTTTCCAGCACATACTTATTCAATGGCAAAAAAAAAAAACTGGGGATGCATTTGCCTTTTTGTACAACACTTTCCGAGCAAACGGCTAGGGCAATTTTCCTGAGAGAAGGCTTGTTCTTTGAAACTCTTGCTTTAATAACTGGAAATACAGAAAGTGGATGGGGTTTTTGTTGCACTAAAAAGCCTAAGGATGCCTAGTTAAGTTTTTCTTTTAAATTATTTACGTACCATTAAGTTAAAATGTTTACATTCATTCATTCGTATAAAAACTGTTGTTAAATCTTATGCAACTGATTTAACACTGATTGCTGCAACGCAAATTGCACTTCTTTAAAAAAATTATTGTATATATGGAAGAAAAATATCTGATTGCTACCCTGTTTACAAATTCCGACTGACTCTATACAGTTCAGCCAGAAAACATGAACTTTCATAAACCTCAGTCACAGTGTACTTCAAAAGTTATATCGCAGTCTTGCAAAGTGAGTAAATATTTTAAACCAAAAAAAAAACCAAACCCCAAAATCTCCTTAACAAGCTGGACCTTGTTAGACTTGTACCAAACGTTGTGATTTCTTCCAGGGGCATAGCTGGGCTCTGAAGAGCAGAGCAAGGCACGCTGAAGGTGGAGGGCGCAGGAGGAGAGGACCGACGGGGCAAAGATATCAAATGTTCGGTGAGAGATGTCTGCGCCAACTCAAGCAGTATGCACTTCTGACGCTCGTTAAAAAGTATCTCGTTGTCTCTAGCAAGTAAAGCCTTTGGTACTCCCTCCCCGACGCTGACAACTTCCGCCAAATTCTTGGGGGAGAAGGCGACGAGAGAGTGAAAACAACTATACAATCAGAAAGGCAGTGCTGCTGGGTAAGTAGAGGACGTATTTCTGGAATCTATCGATAGGTCTAGGTTTACCTCTTCCTTTTTTTTTTTTTTTTCTTTTTTTTTTTTCTTTTTTGAGAGTGTAAGGCTGCATTAGCTATCCCCCGGTGAGCATTTGCTTTCCCTATATTTTTCTTGCATAGATGAGGAACTGGATGCTTCGGCAGAGCCTCTTTCAGAGGCTGAAAAACGCCTCTACCACCAAGGCACGGAAACAATTTCAGAGGAATGGTCTTTGCCAGCACTCTCGCTGCCGCCGTGACTGCTCCGCAGAAGAAACCGTGCGCGGACATCTGGGGGCTGCCGCGCAGCGCCAGGATCCAGCTTTCCTCGCTCCGGGTCACGCCAGAGCCAGGGCACACCAGGGATCCTGTCTCACGGACGCCGTCACTTCAGCCGTGGAGGTCAGGCTGACTCCTGTGTACAGCCCGTCTTGACCTGAGTACTTAAGGTTGCTGTTCTCGGGACTGGTGCTCTCTCCTGGGCCAGACATCACCGATGAGCTCGCCTGGAGAGGTGGGAAGAGCAAAGAGAGATTTCACTGAGCCGCTGAGCTTTGCATGCACCAAGGTGTGAGTAGGAGCATGGCAGGCTCGGGGCACAGCCACTACCCCAGGATTTCTATGGTTTTCCTCTGCTTGCCCCTGTGCCTCGAAATCCCATAACTGAAAAAATGTGTGAGGTCAACCCACTTGCTCGGCCCCAGTGACAGGGGTGGTAGCCACATTTGGAGAACATCTTCACAGCAAGGTGGAAAAGAAAGCACAGGATGTGCAGAAAAATCTGGAAATCGGACCATGATGAAGCAGTTAATGTGCGTGTGTCCTGCTGCCCCCTAACGAAGGGACACAGATGCCAACACCAAAAATGTGACCCAGGAGTTGTGGCACCTATAGTTTTGTTTCCCCCGTGGGAGAAGCCTGATACATCCCAATTCTCTGGCAGTGGGTGTGGAGCACCTCCTGGAAATCAGCCTTCTTTGGGTCCCTTCAGACCTTGAAATGCCTAAAATCAACCCTCACCCTTCGCAGAATCACAGAATCATTAAGGTTGGAAAAGACCTTTAAGATCATCAAGTCCAACCATCAACCCAATGCTGTCATGCCCACTAAACCATGTCCCGAAGTGCCATGTCTACACGTTTTTTGAACACTTCCAGTGGTGGTGACTCCACCACCTCCCTGGGCAGCCTGTTCCAATGCTTGATGACTCTATCAGTAAAGAAATTTTTCCTAATAAAAAACACTAGCCACAACCACTTCGTGTCAGTAAGGCTAGCCACTAAAGGAAATGCTCTTTTCATCTCAAGTGGAGAAACACTATGCCTTTGAACCAGGATCTTCTTTGTTCCTCCAGCAACATGCACAAGACAACATGCAGGGGACCCCCAGTAGGCATGAAGATCAACCTCTGGACCACACTAGAACCAGTACATTTACTTCAACAGAGAAATGGAAAGTTACAAAGACAAAGAAATGGTCATTTTTTCCATGAGGCTGAGCAGATCCGCTAAAGAGGAAAAATTCACAGTGCCAGACAGAGAAGGGGCAATGTTTTCACCTGATAAAGGAAATGTTTAAGAGCTGCCTTAATGCAAAATTAACTCTTGAGTATGTCAACTTTAAAATCTTAATTTACTTGTTAATGGATAGTCTTCGGACAAGATTCCTTAAAAAGGAAAAAAAAAATACTATCCTAAACTGTGATTGCAGAAGCTTCCTGCCTGCTGTTTAAGTGAAAAGTATACATATTTAATCATTTTACAAGAGTAGAGCTCTTGGGTCTCCTGGAGCTGTGCCAGGCTAGCAGTCCTGACATAGGAAAAGCAAAGCTTCATTTATTCAAAGGTAATTTCCAAACAGTGCTGTGCAGGGTTCTTGTTGCCATGCTTAACCCAGGGAAAACATCACCTTCTGAAAGAGATACTCATTGCCAGCGGTAATTTTGTCTGAAATAACCTGGTCTCCAATATTTTCTTTAGCTTTTATTAAAATGGTTGATCTCTGCTATCCTTCTACCCAGTCATCAACCAGGACACTGCTCTGTCAGTCACTACCCAGAAATGTAGAGATGGAAGTAAAAATTGCTTGCCCCCCGAAACCAGCCAAAATAGCTCTAATCTTAAGAAATATGTTTTATCACTCTCTCAAATACACAGCTGCCAATCAGTGACAACCAATCTCCGTATTGTCTTTCCCTGTGACTACACACAGAGAATTCCATGAGGCAGGTTTCACACTAACCTTTGAGTCCGGTTTTGGTCTTACATCAGTCTTGTTTTTGCAAAAGGCTTTTTTTATTTCTAATGCATTAAATAGACTCCTGTTAGCACAACAAACATAATTGTTAACAGCTTGAGTCTCCCCACAGTGGAAGAGGGGTTTAAATTAGAGCTAAACAGTGTTTGCTCAACCTGAACTAAAAATACTAGGACCTGTTTTGAAAGGTTCCCGTTTGCCCATATTTGCCACTGTTGTTCCGGTAGGCAAATGTCTTATCATTACCTGTTTTTTCCGGGCCTGGAAAGTGTAATTCACCCTTTTCCTGATTCAGCCCTACAAAGGCGGGGCACAGGGACCTGCAGTTTCCATGTGGGGTTATCAGCTACCCCTCCCTCGGGCACCCCAGAAGGGAGGACATGGAGGCACGTCCTGTTTGAAGACTGCCCATCCCTGCCTGACCAAGGCCGGATCCTGGCTCCATTGAGCCAAGGCGGGTAGGACCTGGGCAGGACCGCCAGGCCTGGAAACCCCACCCCAGTAATGTCATGACAAATCCAGGCAGCTCGGGCAGCTCCCAAAGTGAGACATGGAAAACAAACTTTAGCTCATGAAAAGGACACAACTGAATCACGGCTCTGCTCCTGAGCCTGCCTACCTTTGCTCTTACTTCTCCAGCTTTAAGGGATGAAAGATAGCAGAAACTACAGTTGGCTATTAGAGGACATTTGTCAGCTGGAATAAATAAGCTGAATAATGCTGCTGAAGTCAACCAGCTCTTCTAATTCACAACAGCTGGCTCTATCAATAAAAAGGTAATGGATTTATTGTTATTGCTGAAATCTGATAATAGGATAGATAATCAACTGAAGCTCGGCTTCCTGAGGAAAAAATGAATGAAGCCTGTTGGAAAGAGCCTGCTTCCCAAACAAACAGGAAGGTTGTGTTTGTATCTGAAAAGGTTCTTCCTTTTACCCAAACCAGCAGGCACTGATCATGCGGCAGCCCCCAGACAGGTTGTGTGGATCAGAGATGGCCTTTCTGTAGAGGACCTGCCCACCACGCTCACAGGGAGACCTCAGCCAGAGCCACAGAGGGACTTAGACACCTACATTTCTGGGCCCTACAAGTTAAGAAGGATGTGAAGGTCCTTGAATGCATTCAGAGGACGGCAACAAAGCTGGTGACAAGGCTGGCAGGAATATCCTATGAGGAGTGGCTAAGGACTTTGGGCTTGTCTAGCTTGGAGAAAAGGAGGCTGACTCATTGCTCTCCACAGCTTCCTGAGGAGGGAACGTGGAGAAGGAGGTGCAGATCTCTTCTCTCTGGGATCCAATGACAAAACTCATGGGAATGGTTCAAAGCGGCACCAGGGGAGGTTTGAACTGGATATTAGGAAGCATTTCTTTATGAAGGATGTGGTCAAACACTGGAACAGTCTTCCTAGGGTGGTTGATGCCCCAAGCCTGTCAGTATTTAAGAGGCATTTGGACAATGTCCTTAACATGCTTTAACTTGGTTGGCCCTGAATTGGTCAGGAGGTTGGACTAGATGATCATTGTAGGTCCCTTCCAACTGAAAGAGTCTATTCTATTCTATTCTATTCTATTCTATTCTATTCTATTCTATTCTATTCTATTCTATTCTATTCTATTCTATTCTATTCTATTCTACATTCTACCCAACCCTGCCAGCAGCACCCTGGAGCCAAATTCACCCCTGCTGTGCTGGCTAGCGTTTGGAGAACAGCACCGGCATCTCTGGCTGAAGGACTCCTGTTTTCTTCCAACCACTCCTTCCTGCATTGTCTTGCCCACCACAGACAGTGGAGAGAGGGGAGGGACACCCTCCCACATGCCTCTGCAGACGAGAGGCAAAAGCTCTGGGCAAGGAGTTATGCTAACAGCTGGAGGGGGTGGCGAGTGGCCTTGATCTAGACCTTTGCTCTATCAGATAGACCTTTGCTCCAACCACTTCACAGGTTCAAAATGCTCCGTGAATTTTGGACGTTACACTAAGTTTGTAGTAAGCTGAGTCTCAGCTGACACTCTCTTCCTCTTCAGTTAGCATAGTTTAGTTTCGCTACACTTGAACGATAGCCATAGTCAGCTGAAACACACTGTTGTGGCGAACTGCAGTGGAGTCCTTAATTTTCCAGCCTCAGCCTCCCTGCAAAAACTGCCATCCTCATCAAGAGCACTTTATCCCAATACTGTCATTCCCTGGTCTCTGAAGAGCAACTCTCGGCACTGCAAAACCACAACTTTTTTTTCTGATTTAGTGACCCTCTTACTACGCAAAGTTGTCATTTCTTGCTAGTCCAATTGATCCTTCTGTTTATATTGCAGACATGTAAGTTTACATATCTTCTAATCTCTCCTTTGTATTATAGCAACATAAATCTGTGGTTAATACTTCATTAATTTCCTAAGGGAGGCAACTTCCAGTGTGGCTTGGGAAAGCTGATGACCCCCACTGCTGTCAAGGGCTGTATGAGTAATTGGCTTTATTGCTTTGGCAATAAAACAAAACCAAGTAAAATCTATGTCTCCATATGCATATAGAAGTTTTGGGTAGAATCAAAAATACTTTTTTTCCTTGGTTTTCCCTGCTGAAACAAAAAAGCTGGATTGCTTCATCCTGCTTGATATAAAATGAAATGCTTTCTTTCAGGTACGTGTACACGGAGCAAAGAAAATGAATGACTGAATGTATGAAGCTGAGTGGGAAGAAGAAAATAGCATCTTATTTTGTCCAGGAGTGAGGTAGGAGACCCAGAGAAGATTTAAACTGGAGTATCAGATCTCCCAGCATAATGCCCTGACTACCAGACTATTTGGTATTTTAGGTTGCCATGTTCCTCATGCCTCCTGTTGATCTTATTCCACCTGGTTTAGATAAATATTTACTCATACCAGGACTGAGGCACCGTGTTCCCATTTTCCAGGTGAAAGTCCTACCAACCATGCTGGTGAGACTTTCTCATGGAAACTCTGTCCCGACAACTATGGAATTTTTCTATACCAGCTGAAATCTTATCATCAGATAGTCTGAAGAACCTTCTGCCATTCAGCTTTCTGATACCCAGGTGGTTAGGAGATTTCTTTCAAGAGGTCGAGTCTCTGGTTCATCCAGACTCTGGGAGATACTGTATAGAGGCTGGTTCCCCTGTAGCCTGCATGAATGTCCTACCAATCTGCTGCCTAAAAAGGTGGGAAGAATAGCACCTCTAACCATCTCACGAACCCTCTTCTGAAGCCAAAAGAAAGCACATGTGGGAGAAGCTATTAGATAATTCAGGCCAGGTTTTCAGGCATTTGGGGGACAGTTAGAACTGCATTTTCCTCCTAGCTCACCACCTGCCGTGGCCATTTCAGTCAGTGCTCTCACTTTCCAGCCTACAACACTGAAGAGCCAGTCCCGAACCACTTCTCAAGGCAAACCTCCAAGGGGAGTACGTGCTAGTTTTACCTGCGAGACAACTGTCCTAAGTTATTCTATGGGGTGTGATTACGGTCCTTCTGAGAAAGCTCCAAACTGGAGGCAAAGGGCGCAGTAAAGTCTTCTGAAAGAAGAGCTCCCCTGGTGCTGCTGAGCCTTTACTGACATCAGCCCTGGCTCATGGGGCCTCCATGTCCTGCCATAAAAAGCAGATTTTACAGCAGTTTTCATACTGCCTTTTGTCCTAAAAAGGGAATAAAGTCCTTCTGGTAATCACACTAGTCGGAGCCCCTGCGTGGAATGGATGGGTGTGTGCTACAAACTGTGCCCTTCGTTCAGCAGCTTACCCTGCATAGCTTTTCTCTGTGCAGTTTCAGCAGCATCAAAGGGAGAGCAGGTATAGATGCAGATGCAGGCTGTCTGAAACCTTCAAATCTTCTTTTTATGGGGATGTAAGGCAACTTCATATATCATGCAGCTGGACCTTTGCCATATTAGTAACACAGGACACCCAGTACTTATACTGCTTAGGAAAACAGAAATAGGTCTAAATCCTAGATCCAGATGTGAATTTGGCAAATAGCCCCGTTACAATGGGACAATGAAATATCTCCGATCCAAACACTTCTACATTTTGGGATGTTTGAAATCAACTTTGCACCCACAGCAATTCATTAATCATATTTTTTAAATGTTTAAACTTCAGCTAGAACATAAAATCAACATTTAAGGTTCTTGCTAATTTGTCTCAAAATTGGCATCATGTAAGATTCCCTTCATGAAACAGAGAGTCTGAGAGACATTTCCAAGAGTAATTGCTGCCCTTCTCTTTTTCTGCCCTCCCCTCTTTATTTTACTTTAAAAGAGATAAAGAAAGGTAGGGCAAAAAGTGAATATTACTGACACAAATTAATTCTGCTGAATTTCATTTCCATTAGATTTCTACATAACTGGGAACTCTTTTGGCAGCCTCCCATAAAAAGCATAATAAATTGCTTTTGTACCAGTAGAGGAATTCATTTTCTCTGTTTCATTTAGCAACAACATTGCTGTGAATTTCAGACAACAGTTTCTAAAATGTCATCAGATTTCTCTGCCTAATGTCAATTCGGCATTTTTCCCCTCTTCACAGAAAAAAGGCTGGAGAAGTAAAAACAGAGCAAAACAAAAACAAGTTGCCATGCCAGTTGTGTAATGCGCAGGGCATGAGCAGGTGCCCGTGTTTCGGCAACGTCACCAGCGCCGCTGGCAGGAATCAATGCCGTTCTCGTTAAAGCGACCAAAGATTACAGAGCCTGGATTCATCCATCTGAGGGTTTTTTTCCTTCCTGACACGGCCCGGAGAAGTTCATTCTCCTTGTGCAAAGCCATTGCCTGTTCTAAGAATAAATACAAACCTTCAGGCTATTGATGGGTCAACTCAAATGGGGGGGTGGGGTTGGGAAATCAAGGAAAAAAGAAGTCTGGTAGAGTATCTTTGCTTCAGCATGTGATCAGATTACAGGCTGCCTCACTCTAAAATGCTGACATCCCTTCACTCCCAACTTCAATGGCCCTTATGAGCACTCAGCCCCTCCCACGGGATTTAGGCTCATAAGAAATTATTTCACTTCCTTCGCAGCTAGTGATCATGTTCCCAAATGATGTCTGGGGCAACAGGGGCCAGTCTTAACAGCCACCGCTTCCTACTTTCAGCCTCCAGCCTCCCCTGTCCCCACCCCATTGAATTGCTGATGCTTGGGCAAAGCCAGGAGCCCGAGGGAAGATGTGGCCATACCCACGACATGCCGTGTCAACAGCTCCCCTGCAAATCCCATCCTCATTTACGTCCATTTGGGGCTGGGGTGCAGGGTGGGAGATCACTAACCCCTCCTGTAGGGTGGGGGAGAGCCAAGGGGCTGCTGCAACCTCCCCGCTTCGGCGCGTTTCGCAGCCTCCCTCCATCACTTTTCCACAAGAGGTCATTTGCGAGTGCTTTGCCTCTGCAGGGTACATCTGACTGAATCACGGTGGGGAAAAGGCTGTGCAGACCTTACTGTGCAGCCTGCTGGGTACAAGGGGACAGACTTCCCTGGCCCTCATGCAGGCGTCCCCTCCCAGCCTGAGCTACTCTGGAAAAACCAGGGAGAGCTGAAGTTTTGGCACGGCGTCGTGCCTGCCTTCGTGTCGCTAACGGCAGCCTGGGGGTCCCTGGTTAGCCCTCAGTTGCTAACAGCTCTCAGCGAGCCTTTTGGCTCAGGACCGTGCCCCCACCCCGCTCTCCTCGGGTACCCACCCAACTCCACCTGGCAAAATTGTATTACAGAGGGTACTGCTAAAATTATAACATAAAGATTATTAATAACAGGTTTGATATGCTGTCCTAGGGAGAAGGGCTACAGAAAGGAAGGCAGGCTTTCGCCAGGCAGCAGAGCAACGGCACAGGGGAAACGGGATGGCATCTATACGGCCTCTCCCTGCCCGAGCGGCGCACGGCTGCCTGCAGCCTACACCTTGGCCTCAGCTGGGACTGTGCTTCTAATCCCGTCCGCTCTATAAATCTCAAGACATTCCCCAGGTAGGCAGTCCTGCTTAGGGCAACCTAAGGAAAATTTAAGGAAAATTTGCCTGCAGATTCCCCTTTGCAAATATTAGGGGAGAGCCTAAAACAGCGCCTAGTAGTTCACGGGGGGGAGCCTGAAACCCAGCAACAGCTCCCTTTTTGGTTAGTGTTTCTCTTTTTTTGATGTGATCTGTCTATTTGATTGGACTGACAGCATTTTCTCATGTCAAAGACAAGCCCTTTTAGTAATATCCTTGTCTGGTGGCATCTGAACCCAAAACCCAGTGCCTCTGAAACTGGGAGGCCCTGTCAGTCCAACAAAAAATCATACTGCTAAACACGGGGTTTTTTCCTCCCCTCATAATTAAACTTTGTATGTCAGGAATTAAACTGTTGAAATGAATTTGGATGTGGGAATGCTGGGACGTATTGAAAAATAGTTATTATAAACAATGTCTTCTTTTTATTAATAAAGGAGTAGAGAAAGCCACGTTAGGAAAGTTTTTCAAAGAAATGACATGGCAGATTAAAGGATAGCAAAGGCCCAAGGAGTGAGTGTGGATATGGATATGGGGAGCCAAGACACTAGAAATTAATCTACATTAAGCTTCGCAACTTCAGCGGTAGTATTTGTTATCACACATGCTAACTGAGTGAAGAAAGGAAGTTTGAGTTGGTTTGAGTACGTGACGTAAAATAAAGATCAAAACTAGGGGAGGGGATGATCAGCGCTCCTCTGGTGCTCCTCTGGAGTTCGGTGCTGCCAGATGCTGAGCATCTGGCCCCTGAAGAGCCCTTGGCGAGGAGAGGGCTGATCCCCTACGCACTGCAATCAGCGGGGCTCCCCAGCCTGGTTTCAGCTGGGTCTGGATCAGGGTTTAAGTGCACATCTCAGTTTAAAACAAAAACTTTATGCTACCCTCCATACAGCAGGATAATGTTTTGCTGGAGTATACCAGTCATTGGGGACAATGTGTGCAAATGCATATATATTAAACAGCTTTTGGAAAATGTGAGAGCAGCAGTGCCTTGAACTATAAATTGAGATCATTTTAAAAAAAAGGGGGGTACATGCACAATTGTTTCTTGAAAGGATCAATTGGGCATGATTTATCGTCCTTCCTCCAGAAGAAAACCTTTGAAATAGAAGAACCTGAACATTTCAAAACAAAATGTCTGGGGTTAAGCTGTGGTTAACTTAATAATGAAAATTAAATAGATCTTAACTAAGAGGTTTGTAAAGTACTTCAGCTTGTCGTTGTGTTACAGCTATACGTACTATCCTCCGAAAATCTTGTTCCTGTATCAGCTAACTGGAAAGTTTGTTTAGATTATTGTTCTGCTAGATAAGATAAAAGCTGCGATAACATTGCACAGTGATCAGCCTGCTTACAGATACGGACACCGGCTTATGGCTTACCCCGGAGGCTGCAGTCTGTGTGCTGGGAGAAGCAGTTTTGCTACAGTCATCTGAGTTAGTAGAAGATGTGGATGTTGGAGTCATAGGAACCGCAGTAGTACTGTTACCTGAAAGATCGGGAACTGGTATTAAAAACAAATATTTTCCAGCCAGGGGGAAAAAAAAAAAACTCTTGCAGCTCAACCATCTTATCTTTTTATACTTACCAGAGCATGCCTTTGACTTATTTATGTTCTTAGGTTTTCGTTTCCTGGTCTGAATTCCTTCTTTTTTCATAGCAAGAGGTCGGGGAACCTGAAAAAATTAAATTTCCACACCGATCAGAGAGTTGTATATGTACTCTAATACCAAAAATGAAAATACACTACAAGATCAAGTGGCAATGTTGTAAATGCCTGTATGGCAAGTCAATTTTTCCTCTGCCACAGTACCAATTCCAAAAAAACTTTGCATTTTATTTGGGCAAAACAATGTTTTTTTTTCAAGGGGAGTTTTAGCTCAATAAAGAAAGCAGGGAAACTTTTTTCTTGTTGTGAACTAAACAGTTTTTCCAACACCTCAGTCAGTCCACAGATAAACAGCACCCTTTCAGGGAAAAACAACATCATTTGGCCATAGGTCATATGCAATTAGACTGGACGGGGTGTATCTGATCCCTGATTGCTTATTCCAGTCAGTTAAGAATTATCCCCAGTGGCTGAATCTGGAAAGCAAGAATACATGTGAGGGGAAAAAAACACACCTCTTCCTGTGGACCAGCTACGCAAACCAGATCGTCGCTGGTAAGTGCCTTAGAACAGAAGCTTTAAGCCATAATCGACCTAGTATTTGTTCTTGCAAGCAGTTCTGCCTGTGATACAGCTTTATAGTATCAAAATTTGTGTTTATAGGGAAAATGTTCTCAAAAATCAGCTTTGTGTCTGTGTCATCACAACGATAATCATTTCACAAAAAACATTGGCTTAAAAAATATTGTAACTTAATGATAGCAACAAGTTTGGGGAAAGACAATTCAGGCATATGCTTATTATCATGATAAAGTTTACGCCTGTAATATAATTTACTTTTATTTTGAGGACTAGGCCAAGTCCCAATCACTCCTAATGCCCTCGCTCTTCAAACACTTGTGCTTGGCTGTAACTTAATCCACAGGGGCACAATAGGCTCCAAGTCTCACCCAAAATACACTCCATCACATGCAGGATAGAGCTATTTTCTTCCTCTACTATTGCCTAGCAAAGGTTGAAATGACATTTAAAGTTTTGCTGGCGTAGCTATGTTTGTCCATGAAAAACTGTCCTCTTAAAGGTCTAGGGTGTTCAGATTTTTTCCCACTGAAGAGCTAGTTTAAATCCCCGTGGCAAAAAGACCTCTGCCACTCATCCAGAGGTGGTTCCTTTGTACAAATCCGCCGGCAGAGCTACAACGGCAAACACAAAACTTGTCAAAAACGTAACTTGCTAAAATGGTATAACCATGTTCTAATGCTGGGGATTTTTCGGTCATTTTATCCGTTTAGTACGCACTCATCCTTTTTTAACACCACGGTCCAAACCATGATATGGGACCACTAGCACCAACAGAAACATCACCCCAACTTGAGGAAGCCCAATGCCACCCCCGACGCCAGCAGATGCCCACCAGTGGGAGGACTGGCCCTTTCCCAAAGGAGCACCAGAGATGGCGGGGGAATACCCCTCGGCGGCGAAGCGGCCGCTTACCCCATGGAGCTTCATGTAGAGGCCGCAGGCGTTGCAGACGGGCTCACCCTCCGCGTTCCTGCGCCACAGTGTGGTGGTCGTGGTGTGGCAGTTGGCACAGGACAAGCCCAGCCGCCGGGACGAGGGCTAGAGGCAAGCGTAGGCAAACACAAGCGTAAACGGGCAGGCAATTTATAATTTAATAATTTATAAAGACACTTTATGTCTTTACAGTTTATAAAAAGTGCTTTAACGCGCAGCGTGAACAGTAGGAGTGTTTTTTATAGTATCTGTCAGTGGCATCCCAGAATTAAAACAAGATTATCCCGGTTTCAGAGACTGGAACGCTGATGTGAAGAGGCACTGTGAGTCTGCAACTCTGAGTAGTTGCGGCAGAGGCAAAATTCACATTTTGGGAGTCACTGGCCCGGGGAGCAATGTTCAGACCAGCGGGCACTGGCTCTTCCTCCAGCGGGACAGCTAGGGAACATCCCCACAACAGCTCCATCCGGATGAGGAGCAGGCACATCACTCCTGGGCTGCCTCTCCAGCCGGTCCAACGCCCTCTCCCCTGCGCGGTGGGCAAAGAGGCAGCTCTGAAAGTTGCCACCAATAACCCTGACCCATCAGAAAAATCAGCCGCTTTAACCAGCTGCCCTTGGTAGCACCACAGCTGCGGGAAACAAACTTGCCCGGGTGCCGGAGGGTAACACGTACAACAGCGGCATCTTTGTAAAAACATCTTTTTATCATCACCTATTTTATCCTTGTGCGAAAAACAACATGCCTCGGGAGCGTGTTTTACAGAGCAGAGCTTCCCCTCGGCCAGCAGAAAAGCTGGTGGGTGACAACAAGGTCCCCACTGCAAACAAGCCATTTATGACACTCTTCCGTGGAGTTTGGAGCCAAGATGAAGCAACCTTGTATCAGAAATAACCGTATAACCCGGAGCTTTATGGCCACAGGCTGTATATCATAAGTGAAGGCAGTCCTCATAAACATGTGAAATGAAGGTGAATGGGTTATAAAAGTCTCTGTAACAAGTGATCTCTTTTACGTTCATCACAAGCAAAGAATTCCAGCTACATCATAAATCTAGTCTTTTTCAAAGTATTGCATTGTCAAAAAAAATATAAAAAAATCTGTGCCTAGCTCTGTGTCTGGCAGGCGAACAAGTTTACATGGAGAAGTCAGTTTTAGAGGATTGCATTAATCTTATTCTGACTATAAAGTGCCCATAACCGAAATTACTAACTTAAGGGTACAATGCCCTTCCTCTTGAATCATTTACTGCTAGGTTGTTAGACATAACTCGGTCACCTTTGATACCGCAGAGCTGCCTGCCACTTGGGAAACTGATTAAAATGGTTTAAGAATGAAGAATATTCCGGAGTAATAACCGAGTTTCTTTAATTTTGTCTGTTAGAGTTTCTTTAGCAGTAAACTGTCGTCTTACACCACAGCTCAGAAAGAACTCCAGATCAAATACGAATTTTGTAACTTTGAATGAGTAATCCATTATTAATTACACAGAAAAAAAAAAAACCACAACAGCCAAATGTAATATAGGCTGAAGTACATGCATATACTTTTTAATCTTAAAAATCTGGGTCTCATGAGAACAGAATTTTTGACCTTGTTATTAAATACATATGCATACAGCATCCAAATTGCACTCCTCAATTCAATATGAGTTTTACACGGATTGGGTAAAAAAAAAGCTGATCTTAACACATATGCTTCGTTTTCTTTATTTGCAAGTGAAATGCTGTCAGAGGTTTCACGCTGTTAAATCTTTCTTTTGCATGCAGTTTGGTATAAATCTTCATATATTTTACTTCAATAGCTTTTGCTCATTCCTGTATCTAAACTAACGGGGCGGGTGGCATGTTTTGAAGCTAAAATGACTTTTCTGCTGCAGGAATTTTATCAGAAACTTTGGGGCAATCTAAACATGTTTAGCATTTTCAAAACATTTTCCCTTCTCACCTACATATTTCCAACTGTATGAACACACAGTCATGGTTGATTTATAGTTATGGCCAGGGTACTCGGTAGGGATTGTTACGCAGAACTATTTCAGAGTTATTTCGCCGAGGTGTCAGGCTGAAATCGGGCTGCAGTTTGACTCTGTTTTAGTCTCCTCACCCCCACCCCTCCTTCAAAAAAACAGCAAAGAAACACAGAAACACCGGAGCAGGGTACCAGCTCCTTGAAATCTGCCTTGGGCCAGGGTGCCACGGCCAGTCAAGCTCTGACACTTCGGGCAAGCAGCAGACCTGGCCCGTCTGCTGCGTTTGTCCCCGGTAATGAGATAACGCCTCGTGTCATGAAATTTAGTGGACAGCCAGCTAGAAAAAATGGGCACCCAGCGGTAATTAACCTCTGGTTTAAAGTCATATTAACTCTTTGGCTTAAAAGAAAGGTGTTTAAGCAGAGGTGGGGCTGGTTTGTGAGCGCTTACTGTCTGATCATGGCGCGTTCGTTTTTTGTGCGTCCCTCCCGCCCCGTAAGAGCAATAAATTTAAACGGTTGTGAAATAAAGAATGGGATGTGTTTTAACGCTAGGAAAACAGGCATGGAGCGAAGCAGCTGGCGTGATTGAGAGGGGCTCGAAAGGCTGATGGGTTTGATACACTGTCTCCCCACAAAAGGGTCCAAACATCAGCTTGGATTATGCCAGAGTGATTTATCGTGGCTCGCTCGGTAACAGCCATTACTGAAGAGCGTATTTTTTCTCTCTGCTGACCTCCACCCAGATTTGCTAAACATAATGTGCAGTTCCCACTTGTTAAATTTCTCCTTGCCTATTCAGTGCCAGCCTGAGTTATAAACAGGGGTTCTGGTTTGTACTATTTATTTCCCCCCCTCTAGTTTTAGGAGTATATTTTTAGAAAAATTGCAGCTCATTTCTTAGGAGTAAAACAAAACAAAGGCTATTATCATTGTTTAAACAATTGGTTTTCTTTGAATTATATACAAAACTTGCTTACATTCCCAAGGATCGAGCTCTCGGCAAACAAAGCAGGTCTGGAGAAATTCCTAGCCCTCTGAACAAACACTTTCCAACCTTGATTATTTTTTTTTTCTTTTGGAAACATCCAACATCAGCAGCACGAATGTATTCCAAGCTGCCCATGTCCCCTCACCAACAGGGTCCACCACCTCAAAAAGCCAGGCCGGCCTGTGCCCGGTGGGCGGCTCAGCGGGGGAGAGGGCGATTTTGCCAGCGCAGGGCCCGGAGGTGGGCCCAGCCCTGACACCCCTCACCGTGACCGCTCGGGCCTGCCACCCTGCTCAGGAGCCCCGCGTCGGTTTTGCAGCCGTGGGGATCACGGGGCTAACAGGCTCGGGTGGCGTTCCCCCACCCTTGCCCCTGCTCTCCCCCCCGGCTGGCGCTGA